AGACCTCTGAAGCTGGAGAAGCCACGAAGAGACCCCTGCCAGTGCTGAGATGCTTACAATGCCACTGGACCCAAAGACTTTCACCCACTGGCTTGTGATTGTCATGCATTTGGCTTCATTGCATGTGTTTCGTGAGTCTGAAGAGGACGTTATAGATTGATATTGGATATATGGGCTAATCTCAGACTTATGGCCTTGGACTAGACTCGGTTGGGATGTTTTCTCAATGTTCAATTGCTCTGGTATATAAACTTCTCCCTTGTATACATATGTGCGTTTATGAATTTGTTTCTCTAGTCTACCCAGACTGACACACCATCCTCTCTCCAGACTTGTTCTGGCTCCCCCATCTGAGAGGGGTCCGTGCCCAAAGCCTGGGTGCCATTCTTGCTTCTTTTTTCTTCCCTTTCAATCTTAACAATCATCAAGTCCTGCGAATTCTGCCTCCTTGGGGGTCTCGAGTTTGTCCACTTCATTTGTAATCTAATTTTTTCCTGGAGGAGGCAGTTCCATCCGCTCCCGGTCCCTAGTCTAACTTCTCTCCCAATTGTTCCCCATTCTGCAGCTAGGGCAATCTGCTCAGTCTTGCTGTGGGCACCCTTGTCAAGACGTGACTTACCTTGTATCCACTCACCGCCGTCAGTCAGCATCTTCTCCCCTCCAGTCATTCAGAGCTGGTCTTCCTTCATCTTCGCCAGCGTCTTTCCAGGTTGGAAAGGAACCTTTATATCACTCAAGAATCCAAGTCCACTTCAGCTTACTTCTTCTTTGCAGTCTCTCAGAACAATGTTTAGGTCTATGGGGTAAGGGTTCTGGACGGCTTTCATCTGTGCGGGTCTTCAACTGTGCACGCTCTTGCTAGTTCTTTGACCGAGGGCATCGATGCCTGCTCACCTTTTATACTCCGTTAAGAAGTCAGCCTTTCTGCCAGGCCCCACGAGCCTGGCTGAGTGCCTGATTTTTGTACTCCCGGTGCACTTTGTACTTGGCTTCTTTATCACGGCTTCTGGTGGTATGATGACCCATTTGCACGTTTTTGCCATACCACTTAGACTGCCATCCGTGAGGTCAATGACCACATTTTCTTGCTTCCCATCAAATGTCCAGCAGCAAGTGCAGGGCCGGGCACATCGTAAATGCTGACACTGGAAATCCCTGTCAAGGTAATGCTGAGAAGGAAGTCGAGAAGCAGGTGCAGTGGGAGAAACAGCCTGGTTCAAGGACCCCCAGGTCTGGGGCCTGGCTTTGCTAGCACAGTTGAAGTACTCTTCCTTCTGCCACCTCACCCGTTTGACTGTGAGGGCATTTAGTACACATGAACTCCAACGTTCCTTACCACAGCAGTCCTGGGACTGTGATCGCTCTTCTATAAAGAAATACGTATTCCTCGCTTGTCCCTTGGATCAGAATCTCTGTTGTCTTTCTCAATCCTTTCTCTGAGTCATTGCATCATGGCCCGCTTTTACTCGAAGCCTGCCACTCCCCCCTTCTTATGTCTTCTTCTTACTTCCTCAGCTGCTCCTTTTCCCCACCCCCCCTCAATTGACACATGCCTTCTTCCTCTCCAGGATCTCTTTTAAACCTTCACCCCTTGCCCTCTCAGAAACCGTTCACCAGAGCTTTCGTAGCCCTCATGCTGGAGTTTGAGCCCCTCCGCTCCTTCGTTTTGGACTGCTGTGGCCCGTGATTCCAAGTCCAGTCCCCCTTTCTCCTGCCTCACTCAAACCCAAGCCAAACCCACTGCCACAGAGCCGATGCTGAGTCACACAGACTCTCCATAGCATTTCTGAGACCATACATCTTTATGGGAGCAGACAGCCTCCTCTTTCTACCAAGGAGCAGATGGGGGGTTTGAACCATCTACTTTGTGGTTAGCAACATAAAGCCTAACGCACACCAATCAGTCAATTTTGACTCCTAACAAGCCTTTGGGGTAAATTAAGACTGCCCCCGTGGGGTTCTAAGGCTGTGATTTTTTGGGAACAGAGAGCCTCATGTTTCTCATGAGGGACAGCTGGTGGATTCAAACTGCTGACCTTGTGGTTAGCAGCTCAACATGTAACTCACTATGCCACCAGGACTCCTGCTGACTCCTCACTAGATTCTCAAAACCTGTAACTTGTTCTCATGAATGTGTGCAGTTCTACCAACTCCCTACCTGTGACTCCTCTCCTGCATGTCCCAAAAGGCTTGCAAGTGGTTGGGGACTACTAGGCCACAATGCTTGGGATACTAGGCAGAAGGCAGACCATGGACATCCTTCTGATATCTAGACCACAGTTGGGGGTTCCAATATTTCTTTTCCAACAGGCACATCGAGGCTGATTGGTAAACGGAATTGGTTCAGCAGGCCATCACTCATCCATAAACTAATATAGGATAGCCCCCTAGTGTCCAAAATTAGTCACTGCATTACAGAGTTCAACTCAGGACAACACTAAACCTACAGGTTGGAAAGAGGGGCCGACATGCCATGCCCACACGGAAGCAAGCCAAGAAGGAAAAAGAGAGAGTAAGGGTCTAGACCCCATATTGGCACACCAAGCCCTAAGGATGACGTCCCTGCTAAGGCACAGAGAGCACTTTAGGGCTGGTAACAGCTCAAGACATGATGTCCCCGCTCTGGAGCATATTGTAACAGAGGCCAGTACTGGGGATACACGGCCACAAGCAGGGAGTGAGTCCAGTCTGGGCCCCCCACCATGGGTGAACCAAAGAGGGAACATAACAGATCAGCAATGTGAGCAAAGCCAAGCCACAAAGCTCCAGTGGAACTCCAAAATAGATTTCAGATTAGGAGGGGCAGGTCCTGGAACCCCTCAAGACCAGTGGAGAGATAGTCATAAAGGTCAGCAGACAGTCCTGGAATTACCTATGCTTCTTCATTTTTTTTTATAGTTATTTTTATATACATATATTTTGTTTTTTTAATTACTTTATTGGGGGCTCATACAATTCTTATGTACAAATCCATACATACATCCATTGTGTCAAGCACATATGTACATTTGTTGCCTTCATCATTCTCAAAACATTTGCCTTCTACTTTAGCCCTTAGTATCAGCTGCTTTTCCCCCTCCCTCCCTCATGAACCCTTCATAATTCATAAATTATTGTTTTGTCATAAGTTACACTGTCCGACGTCTCCCCCCGCCCGCTTCTCTGCTGTCCATCCCCCAGGGAGGAGGCTATATGTATATTCTTGTAATCGGTTCTCCCTTTCTACCCCACCTTCCCGGTATTGCCACTCTTCACCACTGGTCCTGAAAGAGTGTTCTGTCCTGGATTCCCTGTGTTTCCAATGTATATACTCTGGTCTAGCCAGATTTGTAAGGTAGAATTGGGATCATGATAGTGGGGGAAGGAAGCATTTAAGAACTAGAGGAAAGTTGTATGTTTC